CCTTCAACGAGATGGATTGACACGGTGGCTGCGATGATGGGCTCAAGTATAGCAGGGATTGTGGGGCTGGTGCGGGATTGGGCAGTGTTTCGTTCTGCTGTGCGTGGGGTCGCTATGGGTCGGAAACGACTCGATGGCACCTAAGAACAACAACTTTTATAGGAAGCAATGTTACCTCATCCCTCAGGGTTGCCAGCACAACCCTGAGAAATGGTTGCGTAAAGAGGGGTGATGATCTTCCATTCTTGGTACACCCCGTGAGAACACCCAGGGACACCAGGGACCATGGTGGATTGCCTCTCCCAGCCACGCCTCTCGCCTGTATCTGCTTGATCAAAATTCTATCAACCCTTGAATGACACCTCCTTCTGGAAGCTTTCCCTAGCTGCTCCTGCATTACACATACTCTCTCCTTCTCTTTTGGGTTTTCTTTACAGCTCTCATCTGCACCTCACTTTTGTGCCCACAACCATGCCTCCCCTCCAAGTAGAGTGCAAACACCTTGAGCGCAGGTGTTGGTCCTCTTCATTTTTGCACTCCCCCACCCCATTCGGTTTGCATCTAGCAGTGCTTAGATCATTGTTGAGTTGTACAGAATCAAGATCTTTCTGCATGGTCATGCTTTTCCAAAGAATCTGTTGGACTGGCCTTGGAATGTCTACAGGATTGCAGAGGCTAAAAATACCGCTCCAAAGCCACTCCAGGGTGTTTCCTTGTAAGGAGCAAAACTTAACTCCCGAGGCTGAAAGTTTATACCCACCAGGGGGCGCCCTGACTCTCAAGTCTGCAGGTGCCTTTTTTGGAAGACAAAGATTCTCTTGCCTCAATGTTTTTGTTCTCGTGTGTCCCACTCAGAAACTGTTTCTATGGCATAATCCTCTGCCATCCGTTCAGCATCCAGTTTCAGCACCCAGCTGCCGGTCCTAGACCCAGCCCTACTCAAGATAGGCACCCGGCCGACACTGAGGATGTCTCCCCCAGGGGCTGCTAACTCATGCTAAGAAAAAGCCTTAAAATTGGGGTCAGATCTAGGTTTCAGTCCCAACACTGACACTGGTTTTGTTTCTTTGCACAAGTCACTTAACCTTCGTGGGTTCCTGCTTTCTCACCTCAGTAGCTGAGAATAAAATGTGGGAAAGGAGTATAAAAGGACTTTGAATATGGGCGTGCCCTCAGCTACACCCGGGCTCTCATTTGAACTCACCACTGGCTCTGCGAACATGGTCAACATACTTCACCCTGGTTTCCTCATCAGCAAATCAGAGCTGAGAATAATTGTTTTAGAGGGCTGCTGTATGAGGATTAAGTAGAACAATGAATATTAAGTGCTCTTCATAATGTCTAGCATATTGTTGTGGGCAGTTGACTCGATCTCAACCCATAGCAACCCCATGTGACCCAGAAGATCTGCCCCATAGGGTTTTCTAGGCTGTTATCTTTATGGAGTGGATTGCCACATCCTTTCTCATGCAGAGCCACTGGAAGGTTCAAACTATCAATCTTCCATTAGCACCCAAGCATTTAACTGTTGTGCCTCCAGAGCTCCTTAGCTTATGTACAAACCAAAAAAAACCAAACTCACTGCCATCGAGTCGATTCCGACTCATAGCAACCCCCTTTGGGTTTCCCAGGTAGTAAATCTTCACAGAAGTAGATTGCCCAGTCTTCCTTCTGCGGAGTGGCTGGTGGGTTTGAACCGCCAACCTTCTGGTTAGCAGTCAAATGCCTTAGGCACTACTCCACCAGAGCTCCTTTAGCTTATAGTAAGCACTCAAATTAATAATAACCACGTATATGTTACATATCTCTATCCTCTAAACTTGGCATCTATTAAGCTTGGCATTTAGTAACTGTTCAACATCTATTTGTTGAATACAAAAGTTTTGCATATGAGGAAACCGAGGCGCAAAGAGGTCAACCCTCTTCCCACCAGTGGAATAGAGACAGTGAAGCAGTGACAAGCAGCTAAGGAGTCTGACTGAGTACGTGGTGCTACATATTACCATTTGTTCATTAAAGATAACATATTCAAAGCTTTCTATATCTTATTTCTACACACACACACATATATATAGGTGAGGTATTTGTGTGTGTAGGTGAGGTAAGTTGACCCCGAGAGCTGTTAGCTTCCAGAGAAACCACACCGTTTTACCTCCCCGACCGGGAGCTAGGCTTCTGGAACAGGGACCCGCTCAGCCTGAGGCCAGGGACTAGTGGACTCATCCCATGACTAGCTGAGGGCGGGGAGAGGCCAGGAGGCCCGCGGCGGACTGCGGGGCGCGCGTGCACTCCGCCCGCCCTCGAAGATGAAGGAATCGGAGCTGGGAGTGTGGCGCGGAGAGCAAAGGGGGGCGCCAGGGTGGCGAGAGTGAGCGAAAGAGCGAGATGGCAGGAAGCCGGGAGGGGAGAGTGGGAGGTGGAGACCGAGGAGGGGAAAGGAAAAGGGAGGATGGGAGGGGTGGAGAGAGCAAAAGAGAAAGAGAGGAGGGCTGGAAGGAGGAGAGAGGGGAGGAAGGGGGGGGAGACGCTGAGAGGAAGCTAAAAGGACTCGGAGGGCAGCGCGGAAGCCGCAGCGAGCGCAGCAGGCACCTCGGCCGGGCCGCCCCCGCGAGCAAGACGCCGCCATTCCGCTGCTCGGGGCGCCGCCGCCCCCGCCGCCGCGCCCGGGAGCCATGCTCCCGCCGCCCCCGCGCCAGCCACCGCCCCAGGCGCGAGCGGCCCGCGGCGCGGTGAGCCTGCAGCGGCCCTTCCTGCGCAGCCCGCTGGGCGTGTTACGGCTGCTGCAGCTGCTGGCTGGCGCCGCCTTCTGGATCACCATCGCCACCAGCAGGTACCAGGGCCCCGTGCACTTCGCGCTCTTCGTGTCGGTGCTCTTCTGGCTGTTGACCCTGGGCCTCTACTTCCTCACGCTCCTGGGCAAGCACGAGCTGGTGCCGGTGCTGGGAGCACACTGGCTCGTGGTCAACGTGGCGCACGACCTGCTGGCGGCCGCGCTCTACGGCGCCGCGATGGGCATCATGATCCACCAAACGCAGCGCCACAGCTACTGCAACCTCAAAGATTACCCACTAACATGCGCCTACCACGCCTTCCTGGCGGCCGCCGTCTGCGGCGGCCTCTGTCTGGGCCTCTACCTGCTCTCGGCGCTCTACGGCTGCTGCCGCCGCAGCCAAGGCGAGCAGGAGGTAGTGTGAGGCCGCCCGCGACCGCCGCGGCCCGGACTCGGACGGGGAACACGCTGGAGAGCAGCGCTCCAGTCCTTCCTGCCGCCGCAGCCGCCCCGCGATCGTGCGCCCTGGCACCCTCTCCTTGCTCTGCATTCCCGCTGCCGCCCGCGCCCAGGAACCAGGACCCTGACACGCTGCGGTCTCCAAGCCTAAAGCGCTGCTCCCAACGCGCCCTCTCCAGGGACCAGGGCAGGGCTGCAATCTGAGGGGCCGACACACACGCTCAGAAGGGCCGCCCTGAGGCGAAACCTCGCGCGCGGTTCCTCTTCCCCTTCCCTGCTGAGAGCGAGACGTGGACAGGCGCTGCGTAGATCCGGGGGAGGCTCCCAAATTGGAGCCAGCCTGTGGCTGAGCCACTGCGCCCTCCTTCCTGCCCCGCGGTTCGGAAGAACACCCCTTCCCTGTTCCTTTTTTCAGCCTCGGGTGCTGTAGGAGGGCGGCACGCAGCCGCTGGTGGATCTGGGGACAGGCCTCGGCTGGTCCCAGGATAGTGACGAGTTTGGGATTGTGCTAAAGTCTTAAGGAGTCTCTCCCAACCCACCCCTCGGTGCTTTGATGTCTTGGGGTGGGGCCCTTCTGCAGACGTGCAGATGTACGGGAAGGGCCGAGGGGGGAGGCTGTACCCTTGCACCCTTGGAGTCTCTGTCACCTCTGCCCGCCCGGCCTTTTTCCAGACGCGCAGGTTACTGACTTCCGGCCTTGCAGTGATCCAAGCCCCTTCCCAGTCTTCCTCTCACAGGCATCTGCTTCATTCCTCACCCCCACCCCCACCCCCAACCCCATCTGTTTGCATTAGAGACCCTTTTGCACTCACGACCATCACGGAATGTTAGGGTGAGCTCCACCCCTTCTTTTTACCGGTAGGAACCCCAGCCCTGCTCTTGAGAAGACCCCTAACAAGATTAGAACCGGTCTCTGGACTCTCGATGCAGCGCTGTTAATTTTAAAGCAGTGTGTGTTCCCAGGAACCCTGGCCTAGGAGATCACCCCTCTAAAAGAGGGATTCAAGACCAAATCGGTTTGTCAAAGGTGCTAGGGCCCCGTGGGAGATTGACGATGTTCATTAGCATATCAAAGACTGAGAAGTCCCTCTGTAAAAGCCCAGGTAACTTGGTTGACAGTGTTAACTATCTCTGGGCCCAGACCTGCTTTTTCCCATTTTAAGATTCCAAGCAGATCTGTGCTGTCCAGGCTCAATCCATTGGCTTTGGTCTACGAAGATTTGGGGAGCATTTGCTCTTCCCCAGGGAGTTTCTCTTGCAGAGGGAGCAGACAGCTGCCCCTGCCAGGCCAGTGAGAGGCCATTCCCAAGACCTGGAATTGGTGAATTTGAGCATCCCTTTACATTGCTTCGGATGGTTCCCCAATCAAAAGGAACTTCATCAGTAAGAGATCTTGGCATTGACCATGAACCTGGAGGCTCGCATTCACCCGAGCTGGAGTGAACAGCTGGTCAAGCCTCTAGAGGTAAGATACTTACTGACTTACTGTTTTCTGGAAGAGGTCTCAGACCTTTGATGAAAAAACAGGACCCCTTTCTTTTCCAAAAGTTAAACAAGAGAACAAGTTAAACAGAAAAGTTAAACAGAGAACAAGTTTTAAAAATCCCATTGGCATCAAGTCAACTCCAACTCATAGAGACCCTATAGGGCAGAGTAGAACTGCCATATAGTATTTACAAGGCTGTAAATCTTTAGGGAAGCAGACTGCCTCATCTTTCTCCTGCAAAGAGCCTGGTGGGTTCAAACCACTGACCTTTTGGTTAGCAGCCAAATACCTTAACCACTACACCACCAGACCTTCTTATGTTATATGTACCAAAAGGAACCAAACTCACTGCCATCAACTCGATTCCAACTCATAGTGACCCCCATTGGGTTTCTGAGGCAGTAAATCTTTACAGAAGTAGATTACCCCATCTTCCCTCCATGGAGCAGCTGGTGGGTTTGATCCACCAACCTTCTGGTTAGCAGTCAAATGCCTTAGGCACTAAGCCACTAGAGGGCCTTTATGTTATATATATATATAAACCAAACTCACTGCCGTTGAATCTGACTCATAGCGATCTCTCCTTGGGTTTCTGAGACGGTATCACTACAGAAGTAGATTGATTGTCCAATCTTCCTTCCGAGGAGTGGCTGGTGGGTTTGAACCGCCAGCCTTCTGGTTAGCCGTCAGATGCCTTAGGCACTATGCCACCAGAGCTCCTACATGTTATATATAGGGTTAATACACGTTAGATGGTTGGGCAATCCTACTTCCGTAGTGATACTGCCTTGGAAACCCAAGGAGGGGTCGCTATGAGTCGGGGCCGCTATGAGTCGGGGCCGACTTGATGGCAAACAACAACAAACAACACATGTTAGATACTGTAATTTTTTCCCCCTTTGTTTCTGTGGGGAATTCCAGAACATTGAACCTCAAGGGTCCCTGAGTCTTTTGATGTCAGTAAGGCTGAGGTCTTGCTTCCCTTAGCACCAACCACTGGTGCCAACCAGAACCTGGGGGTGGAGTGTGCTGAGGCACTTGGGAGTGCCTTGGAAGCATGACTTTGGTTCTTCTGTTGCAGACTTCCTTGTTGCTGAGCCCGTGGAGGTTCCCAGAGCCTGGTTGTGCCAGTCCCTCCCAGTGCCCACTTTCCCCGGCTTGCAGCACCATTCTGGCCAGGACCAGCAGAAGTTTTCAGAGTCTTCATGTCTTCATTGGCCGTCAAGGGAGGTGGGGGGCAGAGAACAACTGCTCAGCGTCTTCCCTTCACACTGGTTTCTGCAGCATCCGTGGAAGAGCAAAGAGAGGCGAACGCTCATTTTGCCTTAACCCAAGGGGATTCTTGGCTCCTCTGTGGCATGACTTGGGCACAGGTTCCAAACACCTGGAACTGAGTTTTGCATCGCTGAACCCTAAAGAATGGGCTTTTAGCTCCAGCTTTTGTTCCTTTTTCCTTTCTCTCTTTTTAGATCTTCATTTAAGTTGCATCCTCGGCTCAGGTCCAGCCCCCTGAGAGCCCATCCTTAGCCCCTGGCCCAGGGTGTTTGGCTGTGGTCAGGGCACCTTACTCAGGAGCAGAACCTCCTTGCCTTTACAGTGCCTCGTCGTTTCTGCTGTGCCTGCAGCATTGCAGAACTTCTCGGTTCTTCTGGATGTGCCTTTTCACTTTGCCTTCAGGTGCTTGGTAGTCCCTCTGTCTGCCAGATGTGAGATGTGTGTGTAAGATGGCCCCCACACCCATTCCTGCCTCCCCCTCGAGGCCTCATGCCATAGGTACCGTCATCCGAGCTGGCCCAGAACTTTTGGATACTGGAGACAGCCTCATAGGCCACCCTCTTTGGATCCCAGGACTCCGCCCACCCAAGGTCATGCTTGGCATCTCAGGTCAAAAGTCTGGGGTCCCATGCAGACCCAGGAGAGGGTTTCTACATTGTTCTACAAAGGCCAAAAGGGAGGGTGGGAGTGTGGGCAAGAAGTGAGGATGGATGTGCCTCGTTCAGTAGTTCATTGGTGATTATTAATCTGCTTTTTTGAATAAAATTTGGTTTGTCTGATTTGGGTTTTATGTGTCTTCTGCCCTGGGCCTCTGCAGTGACCCTGTGGGCTGGGAGCTCAGCCTCCCTCCTTTATGCCACGCTGCCCTGCTGCTCGCCGCCTCTTAGCATCTTCCCCTGCCCAGCCTGGGACTCAGTCCCTTCTGGGTGGGAAGAAAGAGGAGTTGACAGAGGGCCAGTGAGGTTAGGTGCAGGGGACGGGTTGCCTGAGGGCAGGAACTAGAAGGAAGAAAGCTGCCTGTGTCTGTCCCAGACTGAGGGAATTCCAGAAGCTTCTGTTCTGACTCTCATTTGGACCCTGTGGGCAGACCTACTGCCTGACAGGCAGGCAGAGTATGACTGGTCATAGGGCCAAAGGGACCCTTTCTAATCCAGCCCCATCAGTTTATAAAAGGCTGAGGAGGCAACACCTTGCCTACTGGCCCTAATAGCTGATGAGGGGCAGAGTGGGGTCTCGTTGCACTCAGGCCCTGGTTCTTTTCTGTAGACCACTGTGGCTGCTGTGGGGTTGCCCCCTGGCCTCGGACCACACTCCACGGAGCTTTTCCCCATTCCCCAGCCAGCCTCAGCCTGCTGACTGAGATGCACTGGAAGGGATGTGGGGGCAGTTAGCACGCTTCCTTGCTGGCTTCTTGCCCTCCTGGGTCCTGGGCCCATAGTCTGCAGCCAGGAAATTAGATTCTGCTGGCAGATGTCAAAACCCATCTGGAACAGCTCTGGGCTGGGATGCTATGTGTGCTTGACACATACTCTCTTCCAAAGCCCTCTTCCTAATGTGACCACGTGCACGCACAAGCGCACACGCACACACATACACTATAGCTCCCTCTTTGTGGTTTGGGATTTCCAGAGTGGAGGAAAACACCAGCTGCTGAGGCCTCTCCCATACTCCTCTCTCCCATCACAAAATAAAAGGTGGTTCCCCTTTATGGAAAGACTGGTAAGCCCCCTGCTCTAATTTCCTTTAGCTTGGTGGAGCAATTGAAAATGTGCTTTTATCTGCATTACGTAATGCAATCTTTCTAACAACCATGAAGGTTGACAATGTCAGTGTCATTCAGTAGAGGAAGAAATGGAGCCAGAGAAGGGGAGGGTCTTACCCATGGTCACACAGCTGGCAAGTGGCCCAGGACTGGAACACAGCTGTGCTCTCATAGTCCTTGGACAGCCAGTTGCTAAGCTCTGGTACCCCTCTGAGGGACTGAATGTTTAGGTGAAATTTGGTTTTCCCTACTGGAGACCAGGTGTTCAGAAATGGTTTAATCTGACATTTCCTGTCGAATGGGGGGGGGGGGGGGGGGGGGGCTTTGAAATAAGACACTGCTGTTTGGGAACATAATGAGCCCACTTGGGTCTGAGGCTTCTAAGGGATCTGCTCATTTCTATTACTTTTCCTGATGTCTGCTTTTCAAAGAGATGAGGTGG